TCCCCAGAGATGGGCCTCTGTTTTTTGCGCGGCCGCCGCGGCGAGCCAAGAAAGGGCGGGCGGGCGGCGGGCGGCGGGCTTGCGCTCAAGGCGTTGCCGGCGCCAGCTCCGCCCAGCGCCAATGGGCGCAGAGCCTTCCGTTCATCACGAGCAGCTTCAGACTAGAGAGGGGGGAGCAGGGCACGCGATACGCCCACCACGCGCAACAAATCAAATCAAATTAAATCAAAAGGGAAAAATATGATGCCATATCGATTTGGCTAATTTTAGCTCTGTCGGGCCTGTGGAATCAGATAAGTCAGACATATACAATGCTTGACGTTAAATATTTCAGCAGGCCAATTCAATTTTATTAATTTATAATAGTACACGGCACGGACACTGCCCAAACAATGGAAAAACAACAACAACAACAAATATAGAAAATGTATTGAATGAATATTGTTTCCAAAATAATATTCTTGATAACAGACCAACATTCGCTCATAACGTGTTTTCGTGTGGTTTTATGTTAAACATCTAAAATCAAAGAATGTTGCTCGTACTGCAGATGTCAATAACATGAGGTATTTCATTTTCAAATGCAAGTTTTAGATTCTTTATGTAGAAATTGTAAGTCATGATTTCCCAGCTACAACACAAGTTCATCCGTTTGTTTGTGTTGTTCTTTTTTCGTCTTTTTCGTAACCCTTCGTTGGGAGTTTTGTTAGTTTCTGACAAACATGCAAAATAAAAGTGCTGAAGGAAAGCGAAAAGTTCCCTTAATCTACTTGCAGAAAAAAGTGCAAATTTCCTCAAAATAATCAGAACCAATTTCTCAACCAAATGCTTTAGAGACCTATCAAAAATATAAAAATCACCATGAACAAACACGAAAAAACACGAAGAAGTGTGAATATGTAATGTAATTAATCTGAACAATCACGAAAGTCTCTTACTCGTAAAATTTATGCATCAGCAGATGCTTGATAAAATTAAGCTCTATAATTAACATCACTATGACTTCCGAATGGAATAATGCGAGCATAAAGAGATAAAAGTACAGGAGGAAACCTCCGGAACAAATATTCTTTGACTTTCCGCAAAAAAATATCAATAACATAATTTATAAGTAAAAATGATGGTTAAGATCCAATAACGTAAACAGAGTAAATAATGAACGGTTTCTGGTAGCCCTCCAAGTCCATTTTTATTTTCCCTCAGTTCCGGTTAACGGTAACCGGCTTTTGCCAGACGCGCCCGCCGCACAACACTGGGATTTCTTTTGCTTCTTCTTCTCCTTCTTCCACGCTTCTTCCCCGGGCCGTCGCCCTGCGCGCGACCTTGCAACGCGGGCAGCGCCGGCCCAAGCCACTGACCGCCCGCCCGCCCGCCGCCGGCCCTCGGCCCAGCGGCACCGGCTGGCAACTTTCGGGGCCTTCCCTCGCTCGGAATGCGGGGGACGTGCGGGGGGCTCTCTTCCTTCCATCTCCCTCTATTTCTCGCTCCCACCGGCGGTGGCCGCCCCGCGCAGCACCCCGCGCCCGAGCATCCGCCTCCCCCGTTTTCCCTCTCGCTCTCTCCCTCCCTCTCTCTCTTTCCTCTATGTCTGTCTCTCCTGAGCAGCGGCGGCAAATGAAAGCGCTGCCTCCCCCACTCCCCACGCAGCCGCTCGGGAAAGTCGCCTCGCGAAATCGCCTCCGCGCGGCGTCTCGTGAGCGCTGAGCCAGGCTCTGCTCTGCCCTGCCCTGCCCGCTGCCTCCTGTGTGGCGCGGAACACGCAACGGCGCCAATGGGAGCGAAGAGTCCCCGAGACCTCTTATCGCCAGTGCATTGGGCGTTGCTCCTTAGTCTGTGATCAATCCGCTTAACAACGGCTCGTGGAGATACAGAAGGAAAATTCCATCGCGGTCTCTTGGTCAAGATAAGACACGTGTGACTAAACATGTCCAATAACTATTGATATTACCCAAACGAAACACAAGTTCGGCCTCAAAGAAAATTCAGTGTACAGTGTACGAGTATCTATTAAATTTGCAGTTTAATTAATAACTTTTTAATCATTTAATTCAAAACTACCGAGTTAAATGTAAGTTTTTCGTGACAGTTTCTGACAAATAAAACAGCAAAATGTTTGCGTTCTAAAAGTATTTAAAATAATACATTAGTGACACAGTAAGCCATACTTCATGGGAAGTACTCGCAAGATTTACACTGTATGAAATGAAAGTAATGAGCAGTATAGTAAAAACTTATAGTTATAACTTATTCTTGCACTTCCTATCTGAATTATTGCATCAAAATTTTAATCTCGTTTGCTCACTCGCTCGTTTGTTGATAAACACTTCATAGTTGATAAATGCAATAGCGAATTCGCTAGAGCGTCGTTTATGACGATACTAATTATATTATAATTAAACAGAACTAAGATTTTTTCTTTCAAATCACCGAAGGCGAGAATAATCTTTGAGCCTCAACGAAAGGAATAAACAAGAAGCGATACACAATGAACAAAAATACATTCAAGGAAACTTACAAAGGCTGAAAATAAGTATGCGAAATTTCTCCGCACTCGTCGTTTCACAACACAGGAGGAAGACAAAGACTAACTCAACATAAGAAAACTGTTTTCTTTTCTTCTCATAACACACTCGTTCATAAACCAATAGATCCAGACGATTCGTTCAGGAAGAAAACCCGAATTTAACCAGCATTTTGTATCACTAATAAATAATATATTTCATGCACTATCAGCTCTACAGTTAAAATGTTACAACGGTTGACTACAAATAAGATAATTAAGGTGAAATAAAATTAATAGCCTAAAATCAAGTAAGGATGCATCTCACACTGTTTTCAAAAATAGGCAAAATAAGGAAAAGAATGAGAACATGAAATTAGGTCACTTAATTTATAACAAATAATTTGATTAGAACTGTGATAACCACTTCAAGATACTTAAAGTATTTTGTATTACAAACAATTTACAATATATTTCGTACTTTATGAATGAAGTTATTTACAACATCAACCGCAACGCCAGGCATTCATCGCTACTGTAATGCTGGTTATCAAACGCTGAAATATGAGAAGTATTTTGTTTAGAGAAGCAAAACCTACAGCACATTTTTTGACTCATGATCCAAAAAGACTAAATATGAGACAAAAATCACATTCTCAAAGATGAAAATATTGTTATGACTGGTGCAACGTATAAAAATAAAGTTCATAAACATTTTTTGTTCATTCGTCACAATTCACCTGCTATTCATCAAATTTCAAAAACAAGTAATAAAAGACAAAATAGTAAATATAATTTTGTAAAAAAAAAAAAAATAAAAAATACATTTACAGATAAAAATACTATGTTTCCTGTAATTGTGGGCTTACTTCTAGTAAATACACCACTAAAACCCATTTTCAGACATCCGAAGTGGAAGACTGCATTTCCCTTTTTCCCCTCCACAGAAATGCTGCAATAGCGGGAATTTATTTTAAGCAACTGTTTAGAAATTGTGTACCTGCCTTGAGGCTTAAGCAGCTAGACGGAGGGGGGGGGGGGCTTAATAACAAACTAAAATTAACTAATTGCACATTTTAAAATACATGCACTTTGGCATGCTTAACGTACGAGTAAATAAGACTTTTTTCTTATTGCTGGGAAATGTTTCCTTATTGCTCGAAGTTTGGCTTTATTTTTTTTTCTTACATTCACGCATAATTCATACTTGAATAACATTTTCTGCGGAGCATTTAAGCCCGTTGAACCTTCGCCGGACCGGAACGCGGGGGCCTTCACATTTCCCCGAATGTGAAAGCGAGGCGCGGGCGCGGGAGGCTATTTGTGCGCGCGGGCCGGGCAGCAGAGCGCGGCGCCGGCGGCGGGCGAGGGCTGGGCCGGCGGGCGGCCACGGGCGCAGTTGCCTTGCTTGCCGCGCCGCGCCCGCCCGTTTCATTGCCGAAGAGAAAACCTTGCCGACGACGTATTCAATTTAGACGTGTTAAAAAAAGTAATGCTGCCGAGACGTTTGACGATCCAGGATTTTATTGGCGTTAGGAAGGCCAATTTTTAGGCCTATTTTTGCGAAAATTCCAACAAAAACAGGTTTAACGAACTGGTGATGTTTCTTCCGTAATTTACTAGGTACAGATGGATAAAATATAGAGCAGTGCTCATTGTTCTATATTGGGCAAACTGCACAACTTTTTAATGTTATTAAAATACCTACTATTAAACTTTTTTTCGTCGTTTTTACGGTTAACATTTCTTACAACTGAAATTGCACACTACTTAAATCCCCTGCAATAACAGTTGGTACTTACAAAGCACTGAACGTAACAATCTGTTTAATCACGTTTACTTATGCAGAGTTTCCCCAACTGTCGCAAATGCATGGACAATGCGCACAAACAGTTTTTCTAAAGAAAATCAAGCAAGCGTGAAGTACCGGTTAGAAATGCACTGGCTGTTACGCAAAGCGGCGCCAAGAAACTTCAAACGCCGACAAGCGACCGCAATAATCTTCGACGAAATTCAGGCTGTCCAAAAATAAATGCAGGGCGCGAAGTAGCGGCGCCGGACGGTAGCGGCAGCGCCGGTGGCGGGGCAGGCCGCAGCGGTCCCGCGCCGCCCAAGAACCGTTACAACGCAGCGCTTTGTCGCGCTTTACAAAACCTAGCTTTCCTCCGCCAAACCGGCTCAAATACGCCTCTATTGTATACTTGTTGTTCGCAAATATTTTGAACGTCAACCCTACGGGCTCGGTTGACGAGACGACGGTCAGGCACGGTGGCGAAAATATTCCCATCTGTTTCGCTACGATTCCTGTAGCATAGGAAAGTATAAGTAAAAGCTAAAAAAAAGAACGAACAAAACTGAGTAGAAACAATTCAACTATTGTTTGAACTCAAGGACGAGACCTCCCATTCGCCAGGGCGCCACAAACTTCTTGCTGTCGGTGATTACCGAACCGAGCCTCCGCTCAGCGACTGATAGGCCGGCACGGGAGGGGCCGGCGGCGATGCTGGCGGCGGTGCTGGCGGCGGCGGCGGTGGCGGCGGCGGTGGCGCGCGCAGGGGTCGAAGGAGGGACGGGGCCGCCCCTCCCCCACTCCCCACCAAGCCGAGTCGCGCCGAGCCGGCCGCCCCCGACCCACTGCCCCTGATATTAAGCCGTTCGCCGCGCAGGCGCCAGCGCCGCCGGGGCCAGGCCCAGACACAGGCCCGGCCCGGCTCTGCGCCTCCGCTCGACACTTGTTCTCCTGCCCACGACTTTATCGTTTTAGAGCGGCGGTCGGCGGCCACTCGCTGCGCGCGTCCGTGTCGCCGCTGCCCGCAGCCCACTTTCTTCCCGGCCCGGCGCTGGGCGAGGAAAGTGCGTTGCGGAAACTACAGCCCTCCGCGCTCGCCGCTCAGAATTTCCTGCCACGTTTCTTCAAAGGCACTTCAGACCAACATACGACGAATAAATTCCGCACACTCCTCAAACTTGTACGTAGAAATATAAACTTTAGTTTCTCCAATGTTCACTTACAACCGGGTACGACGGGCAGTCCGCAAAGTATTTCGGGAGGGGGGATTTCAGTTAAGAAATATTTCAGAATTAAAAAATAAAAATCTTCACTCGAATTTAGACTAATATTAATTTTTTTTGGATGTGATCCGATCATTATTTGGAAAGTTAAGTACAATAACATAAAATGTTAGTATTGTGCATGGTTTTGTCTTGGATCAGGTATAGATATTGTATAAATTTTAGGTGGTGAAGAAAAAAGAACTAAGTACATCACTTAAATAAAGACAAAATTATTTCAAAATGAAATCTAACATGCTACTTATTCCGGTTTGTGGTGGTATAATTCACGGGGGAAAAATGAAAAAACAAGTGCAACTTTATCGGTGGAATGTTGGTAGTCATTTAAATCAAACTCCACTCGAGCAAAATTAAAAGCCAGGAGTTACGTAAGTATGTGGCGACCACAACATCACAAAGATGGCGTCCGAAATTTCCATTGACCTCGCCGGCGCAGCGGTGAGCGGGGCTGGCCGTCGGGCGGAGAGGGAGAGAACAAATGCTACTCACCATGCGATGCGGTGGTCCGTGTGGCGGCGCTCACGAAGTGCATCTGCAAAGCCACTGCTGCCACATAATCCCAAGGATCACACGCAGAACAACCGGCACTTTGACGCAAGACACACGGGCGATTTCGAAAAAATAGTCTCCGACAATTCCAGTTCACTCAAGAAATTTACCGACGAACAGTCTTTCGGCGAAAAGAGAACCAGAGCCAGCAACTAGGAAGGTCTAACCTCTCACCTCATACGCAGGGCTTCCTGGTTGGCCCGTGACCGACCAATGGGAGAACAGGCGCAGGGAGCAAGTCCAAAATTGATTTGTGGGAGGAGTCAAGAAAGGGGAACAGGGACAAGAGAGTTTTCGCAAGGACTGGCTTCGAATCCCACGAGGACAAACACACTTCCCGAAAACTCCTCAAATAACCGGTGCAACGGACCCGATGGTCTCACAAACCGCGACCGCCATGCCTTCTCCCGAACTCGAACCCGTGGTTTTGCTCACAACGCGTCACCCGTCGACGTTACAGCACTTGCCTCGTAGAATAACGGTACTTGGATTTCTAGCTACGTGGTTAGGCAGCTTCTGGCGGACAAAGGGGAAAAGAGGCCGTGGGGGGAAGGAACCAATGGCTCTGCAGGGTTTGTAACGCGCACGCCGGTTGGTCACTCCCACCCCGCGGCGTACCCCTGTGCCCCCCGCGGCGCCCACGGGTGCTTGCGCAAGCTCCATAGGAGGAAGCGGAGTCCAGGGACAAAGACTCGATATTTCAAAGGCAGGGGGAGAAGCGGAGTCGCTGGCACGGGGGGCGAGCGCGGTGGGGGAAGTGGACTCACTGCAAGCGTCCTGCGCTCTGAGGAAGCACTAAACAGGACGTCACCGAGCCTACAGACGATTTCTGCTTGTTACCCGGAATATCGAAGTCCGCTCGGGCGCATGCGCAGTCTTATCTGAGCCCCGTTGCCATCACCTCCGCGTCTGCCGTCGGACTA